CTGGAGGAGTTTATGGATTCTCCATCTGTATTTTTTAAGTGCTGAGAAGTCACAAAGAACTTTAAAAAACATCTTTTTGAGGGCTGAGAACTGAGGTCAGTCGGACATTCCTTCCCCTTGGGGATAAGACTGAATTATTTTTTATTGCTGTTTTATGATGGGAGACAATCCCCTGGTTGTTCAGTGGCTCGTGACAGCGAGCAATAAAAGCAGAGCCAAGGGGGGAAACGCTCTAAAGCTGCTGGTGCTGAGTGGGAAAGGACATCCCTGAGGAGGAAGGAAAACCCTGGCAGGGAAAAGCAGAGGTGGGAGATCGACACGAACCGAGGCCAACATTGCAGTGTTTAATTCCAACAAAACCAACCCCAGGGACTGTTTGACTGCAAAGCCAAAAAAAGAGCAAAACTCAAACAACCAGAGGAGAACGACGCGGTGAGAAAAAGCTCATTAAAAACCTGCTCTGTTTGAGGTTCCAGCTGTGAGGATTTTGGGAATCACCTGGGATCAGGCATTGATTTGCCAGATCACACTTGTTTTATCAAAGCCTGGACTCGCCTTGCAGTTCATCAGAGCATCCTCTGAGTTTTTTTAAGGAGCACAAAGGCCAGGAAGAGACAAACAACTCGTGGCAGGTCGCAAATAAATTTTACCTCATCGGTAATAAACGACACTGGGAAGTGAAACGGGCTCAGCCAGGCAGGGAATCGCACCTGGCATCAGAGTTCACTTCAAAAAAGGTTTAAAAACATCTCCAAGAAGCTGAATTAATGATGATTTTTTTTAAACATCTGCACACCAACAACTTCAGAGCGAGGCCGCTGCTCCGGGACGCGGCTCGGAAGCGGCACCATCCCCGCGGAGAAGGTTAATCCCAGAAGGTTAATCCTACTTAATTCTAATGGTTTGCACCTGTAGGAGCACGTGGAAAACCTGAATTTTACCTGAGGAGGGGATGAAAGATGACGGTGATGTTCCTGGCTCCCGGTTTGCAGACAAACTTGGATCCGCCACCTTCAATTAAGTTATCATCCGGTCCTCCTGGAAAATAACAGCAAACAAAGTTGGCTAACAGATCTCAGCAGCCCGTGGTTTTTAGATAGCAAGTGATAATTAAACGCTTAGCAAGTGATAATTAAACATGAATTAGAGGCTTCTTTCCTGATGAAAGATCAGTAATTAACGTGAAGACACGCTCCCCTGTACCCCCCTCTTGCTCACAGCAAGCGCTGCTGAAGCAGTGGGGACAATACAGGTGGGGTTGAGATGTTTTTAAACATTATTTCTAATCCCCAAAATTAGTGGAAGTATTGCAGGAGGACCACGAAGTCCAGGTCCTGCA